TTAACACCATATTCCATTTCCGTACGACAGTTTTTTGAGGTATAACTGCGAATAGCTCAACAGCCATGGATTTTCATAGAACGGAAAAACAGATGCACAAGGACGATTTCCTCAAAATTTCATTTCGCAGCAGTCCCACGGTTATAAACAATGCCAGAGCCATTGTTCTGTGCCTTTGATTGGACAATTTTCGGAAACTTACATTCCAATGTACCCTACGACTATAATATTTTTGTTACTACGATTATGTTAGTTTTTGCATGTAGAATATTTAAGAATTTCAATCAACTTGAACAAATGAAACTTAGAAAATTTCCAAACTTCCAATTATACCAATATTCTGTCAAAATGTTTTTTATTCCAGCAATCTCTTATTCTAATCCAAAGATTTACAGAATAAGGGAAGGAATCTAAAGTAATCTTCGATAGTTTCATGTATATTTATCTCAAACACTTTATTAAAACATTCGAAGTACTAGACATTCTTACCAAACTTTCAATCTCACCGTTTCTCAGAATAATCCAAGTTCGATGTAACATAGAACATGGTTTTATGGGATAGATTTAAAGTTCGCAGCCATGAGCTCCATATTATCCTCGGTTTGCAATACTTTACCGATGATAATACCGATTGCCCGGACCTCACCACGAGGAGGTTGCTGCGAGTGGAGGCCCAAGGCAGGTAGATGGAATCACAAGTTCTGCATTTATTCACCTTTCACAATAAATCTTATAAATGACTTAAATCTTAATTATCTAATACTATTGGTACTACAATCCCTCGGCGGATGACTTTAAAAAAATGATTTTTTTGTAACTTTAAACAATATATATGTACATAGTACTGAAAATTTCATAATTATTTATTTGTTTTTTCTATAATAAATTCCCAAACATCAGCTTATTTTCAGCGTTCTATATGTAATTTTCCTCTTAACGCGCAAAAACTTCGTATGCCACGGAAAACCACTTCCTATTGATGTAGTACATTTGTGGTTCTGATATGTGCTACCATTGAACTAAATATTTTCTCTATCGTGCCTACTATTATGCCGGATTTCGTCGCTTGGTGCAGCACACATACTCGGGGACAACGAATTCCCGGGTGTGAGCACTCTCATTTCCTCTCTGGTGGTATTAACGAGGCCGTGGGTGATTTTATGCATTTAGAACACAGAGGACGCGATTGTCTAGGCGTTCAGTGGAGTGTAAAGTTTCGTCTCGCGGCCGCAAAGGTGAACGACTCGAAGGAAACGGGTGAAACCAACCGGTGGCTCGGCTTGAAACGAAAGAATATCGACGTCAGTTTCCGTCGACGGATCAAAATTAGTTCTCGGTACACGACGACATTTCATATCGTGGCGAACCACAATTTCCATTGCGCGCAGAAGTCTTCAATCTGCTATCCGTAGATTGCTTAAATGACGTGACCTTAGGCCTACTATCCACTAAGGCGTCTCGTCATACGCTTGAGTTTCTGTCCACTTAAGCGTATTGGAAGCGTATAGAAAGCTTCATTTTCCTCATTCGCAAAGATGTCGGGCGACAAAGAGGACCATATCGCCTTATCTTGTAATTATATTCGACGACGTAAAAGTCGGAAAAGATATTGGTTACATCCTTGCATAGAATAGAACATAAATGATTCTGTATGTAATTCTTTCTATAGAATGAATAAAAATAGGTACAAAAATTTAGTGCATTTGGTAGCTCCGCAAATAAAAAAACAAGACACTAAAATGCGATGTTGTGTTAGCCATGTACCCCAATTTACACTCCTGAGATTTTAGGTTGATTTATAAATAGTGGGTTGGCCAAAAGGTTCCAGACTTTAGTTCAAATCTTAAAAGCACATGGTTCTTTGACAACTAACTGTATATTTTGACTAACAAGGAGTGTATTTTAGGTGTCCGCCTCCGATTGCTTTGGTTTTCGGATATGTTTTAGAGGACCGAAAAATAAGAGATACGTATTTTTTTATAGCGGCCCGTTTTCAAATTTAGGGGGTGAAACCACCCCTCAAAGTTTCGACCCGGAAGTACTATCTCGAAAACCAGAGTGAACCTTCCTCTATATTACGTATCACTAGTATTTATTATTTACATCGATTAACTAATCCTTATGTATTGTGGTTAAAATAAAAATGAACCATTTTTTTTCTAGGACATATAATCTAACCTTTCCTGAAGAAACATTTCTCCACACGATTTCAGACATGGCATACTTGAAGAACTGAACTTTTTAGGGTGGTTTTATAGTTATGCCACGCAGTGTATTACCTAATAGTTGTCCCAACAAATAATCCATTATGGTTCCAATACGATAAGAATACAGTCCGAATTCAGAATATATTACCGATTTTCTGTTCAATTAAAACAGCAGTGAACAAACGAGTGATACAACGGATATTGTTAAGGTAGCATACAGATTTATATAATTTCGGAACGAATACAAATTTTCAATTAAAACAATAGACTACATATATCGTTACATCCAATATATCTATCATCTAATAACATTTATTAATATCGCCGTACAACTCACGTTAAAGGCGTTCGAGGTATAGAATCCTTCGGTAAACAAAAAGTTATTTCAACGGATGACGGTACAATTGTTGCGTTTAATGTCCAAGGGTGCCACACGTTGCTAAAAATAAATTTGAATAAAGTCTGCGTTAAGTGTTTGCAGCAATTACCGCGTTGCTTTTAATAGAAATCAGAAACTGACAAGGTGAACCAACAAGGCGTACTCACATTGACTATATACATATACATACTGTGTACGATTGTGCTTGCTATCTCGAACCTGAACATTTTTTTTTTTGTACTATTGACCCGCATATTTTCTTGAATGTCACAGCGGGTCGACGTTGCCTATTGATTTGTCCCTGATAATAGATAATTAACTATGTGGCGTTGGTATGCAAAATACACGGCCGGTTGCACTATGGACGTGTCAACGTGCTCAATGATCCTTTGAGCGAACGATTCAACGGTGAAACTAGCGACACACACACACACACAAGCAGCCCTGGTTTAAAAGGCATTTCATTATCTACGTTTCTGCAGTTACACGGTTAAATAATTCTGAAATGTCGCTTAGAAATTTGCTTATTTGTCTTCACGATCATTCTGTTCGTACAGCAAATGTTTGACAAGGTGTCATATCGTGTTATCCTTGCCAATTAATTCTAAAAGGATTCCCTGTCATCTAAGAACAGTTTCGAAAGCAATGCTTCAGTGTGACTAGGCATATTTCCGTGCATCGAAATTTAGTCTTCTTCCTTAGTCGTTTTTTATCTTTGTAAGTATCCTTCGATGGAAAATATATATAAGAAACATTTTAATTTGTACTATGCACAGTGTCACTTAAGGGGTTACATACCTTTGAGCTGTTAAATAAGAGGGATATTAAAAAAATGCTTCTATTTGCAGAATTATTGTTTATTAAAAATTCAAAATATACATCTGATTATATGTTATCTCCGTAGTAATTTCTGAAAAATTGAGCTATGTTGTATCTATCAACAGAAGAAAATGGCTGCTATTTAATCATAATCCGTTTTTTCGAAACATCATCTGCGGTAGCAGATAGGTAGGTATGTCTCTGTGGGCTCTTATCTGAAACAAGTTTTTTGTAGAAAGCAGTACTTATCGAAGCCGATTTCGAAAACAACAATATTTTACCAAATGACGTCTGTGTGAGCGTAAACTTATAGTTTCTGACATAAATTTTCAACCTCTTTTGTTACTAAAAAAAAAATAAAACATGTACGAATCAAACATTCGCTTTGTCTAGTACTAGATTTTACTCTTAAGAATATTACCACAAAGTTTGATCCAAATTGGTTCAATAGTCTTTTAAATATATCTGGTACTAATTTTGAAAACTGCATTTCGAGTAAAACGCTTTTAAATGACAGCCATTTTGTTCTATTGATAGATATATAGCTCAATTTTTTAGAAATTGCTAAGAAAATAACATATAATAAGATATATTTGTTAAAGTTTTAATAAACAATAATTCTGCATGTACAACAAAATTTTTTAATTTTCCCTCTTATTTAACAACTCAAAAGTATGTAACCCTTAAATGTATACTTAGACAGTATACTGTTCGCATAAACGGTGTTCAGGTGACCCAGGTTCGTTTAGAACTCCAAAATATAAAAAGTATTAACATTAGACGTTCCAACAAGTAATCCACTGTTTTAACCAAGCTCAATGATAATTCTCAACGAAATCAATTTCAACAAAACGAATCTCAAAAAAATCAAACTGGTAAACCAAGCAGTGAATGACCGAATTGTTGCATTTGTGGACGTTTGGGATTAATACTTGAATGTGTTTATTCATAACAACAAAACAGGTGTTGAAATTGCAATTACATATATTTTTCTTGAAATTTTTATAAAAATAATTACTTATTCTTGTCGTGATTTTAATAAAATTATTTATGTAAAACGTGTAAAAGCCCAGTAATTGACTGCTTCATTTTTGAAATATTTTTAATAAGAATTATACTTATTAATGTTTGCTTAACACACTAAACCAAAGATATGAGATATTAAAAGTACAACAACGCTCTACTTATAAACATTTAATAATTTTTAAATTTATAATTACATTTCTTGCCTAATGGTCATTCACTGGTATGTAGTCAATTACAGGTTGGTTTACCCTACATATATCGACTTGTTATTTAGACGGAAATAAAAACAGTGGGTTTTTCACTGTCACGCCTAAATAGTAAAAGAAAAAGCTAAACATTTCCTCAGTAGTAAAATGCAGTATTGACTTTTAACGAAATGCTCTACCATTTTCAATAATATTCATCCTCCGACATTGTCCGCCATCTTAAAACAGACAAGGCGAAAGAATGTCCGTTATTTCGTTCAGCTTAAACAGCTGCATAAGGGATATTTTATGAATATTCTTTTCGTGTAATCGTCTCTTTCGTTCCATTTCGTTACAGTCATTGTCCCCCTGCTCGTGTTTCAGGAGCGCAAGGTAATTCGATTCCGGAAGTCGTTGCCGGACGATGTTCCACCGGATGGCGGCAGACAACGAGCCGAACGAGAAGTGGAATTCGTGAGGAGCGTGGCTTCCTGCTTTTTAGGCCCGTACACGCAGATCCCCGAGATTCTACGGTGCGACGCGAAAGACATTGCCAGACTTTCGGAAGCCATTCAAACACTCCGGCCAGGTAAAACGATTTCCGTCGGAAATTTCTCGCGTGGAACATTCCCAAACCTTGTCGATATCGACTTCACTGCTCCCGTTATCCGAAACATTCGTTCTTCCGTAGGGCAGCCCGGGGTAGAAAGTAGGTATGTAACAATTTTTGCTTTTCATGAAATAAAAAGGTCTATATTTTAGTTTAGTTTTCTTAATTTATACGGATAGGTTGATGATTCAAGATTCGTTCTGTAACGATGCAATGTTTTTAGATTAATTGTTAAAAATATTATGACCGTGGATATTGACTGAGACAGATTGTTAGTTTTTGCCTCACCTTGGGGCAAAAAATAATAATGCTGGGGTAAAGTCGTACCACGAAGAGATTAAGCAAAATTGTGCACAATGAAAGACGAAAAATAATTAAAACTAATGATTATAAAGAATCAACATAAGATTATATACATATAGTTTTCTATTTAATTGGCTCAACACAACATTATTTCTTAATCAATAGGCACTCAACATAAATTGTCTTTTTATAATTAGCACAACACAACATTTCTTAATGACATCAATTAATTGTCATAATTAATAAGTATCATAATTTATTGATTATTTGTTATCATAGTGCTGTCTGTTTTATTTAAGAAATTATAAGCCCTGTTACTATTAACCCCGGTCTACCTTATATTTTTTAGTTAATATTCAAACATCTTAATCGTTTTCAATAACTAGACCGCGGATGTTGAAGACCAAAAGGAGTTTTAACGAACCAGAAAGGGTGTAATACGTAGGGTAAATAAATAGTTAGCAGAAGAAGTGGCATGGAGAATCTTATATCTTTCGAGATATTAAATTAAACTTAAGTTTTTTTAAGATCAATGAATGTTTTTTTTTAATACTGCGTCGTAACCGGCAAAAAGACGAATTCAACGACCTATCATGACATATTTCAGACAATATAAGATATAAAAACATGAAATACTAATTTAAGTTTTTTTTTAATTTTTAAGAAAAAATTGGAAAGTTCGTTGAATAACCCAAAGAAAAACAAGCAACGTTGCCGTTCATAACAAACCTGCGTAGAAGATACTACCAAACGCATTGAAACCTAACTTTGCATACTCTGATTTTAATTTTTACTTTCATTTGATCGTTAACGTATCCTTTTTTCGGTGCCATCATAATCTCCGTAAAAGAATCTATAACCACTTAATTTTGTATGAAAATGTCATTTCTTATAGCTAAATAAGAAATAATTAACTTCTCAGTATCAACTACAGTTCCATAAGGCTCGTGTTAAACAAAATTTGTATAACGTTTCTTTGTCAATAATTTGATCGTTGACCTTGCGATTTTTCGATAACAATTGAAAGTTGAAGCTTCTAAGAACGTTCTGCTAAATTTTCAACTAAATCTATAATTATTAAAAATTTGCGGAAGCCATCTTAAGAGTTTCACGCAGTAACCAGACGTCCTATCTGAGCCAAAGTAAGTAAAGTAAAGAGTCATAATGAATAAAACTTTTTATTCAAGGACCCATTTCCAATAGAGAATTTAAAAATTAGGTTCCAATCCATCGCTAATTCTCATTGCCTCGCTATACAGGGTGAACCACGAATCATGATCGGTAGGGATTACTCTGTTATTAGCAGTCCAATCGAAAATGTTTTTACCAGGTATAGCATGGTTTCAAGAGCGCTTTCACGTGATTATAGCAAATTTGTTGTCAACTCTGTTTTTCATGATTTTTCAAGGTCACCTTCAATTTTTTGCAAATACACCTATAATTTCTTTACGCCTATCTGTTAGAGGATTTCAAGACGAATTCGGTAAGTATCATAACATAACATGTGTTACTTTCTTTTTCATCTGGGTCGAGAAAAGATTAAAGAAATATTCGAACTGTAATATTACAGAGTATCGTATGCTCCGCCATTGTACGCGTTCCGATGTTGAGCTCTTGCCTACTGTTTGTAAACATTTCGTTCTGTACATTGGAACACATCTAATGATACCTACTGATTACGATTCGTGGTTCACCCTGTATAGAAACCGAATAGTGTACATTAAATTTTTTATTTTCTCCGCCTTGAATCGTATATGTACAGCAAGAAACGCGTATTAAGCTATTGAAGGTAGCACGCACAAATGCAGATGTCCGCCGATGGGCTCATTGTTGCCCGTGACAGGTGTTCGGTAAAGCGTTTCGAGGCCCCATAAGTCCTCTCCCGACTTTCGTTGACCGTTCTCAAGTAGCTCGCCCCTTTTTTCCTGCGCGTCCACCTGCTGACTGCACCTTTTCTCTTCACCCCTCCCTCTCCCCCCACCCCCATACGAAAGAAAAATGCAAGGTTTGCACGCGCGAAGACCCACCAATACCCTGAGGTTCGTCCTGCGCCGCTGAAATCTCACCCAGCCATAGTTCCGTCGACTTTGGCCCCGCCCGAGGAAATTCGAATATTCCGTGAAACCTGATTTACAGTGGTGAATGCCAGACGGAGAAGGGTTTACTATACAGAACGAATAATTTTTGATGGGATAACGATCGGTTTACCGGTTGAAATCGGTTAGCGTGTCTTCTTGGCTTTTCTCGATTTATTTCTAACCATTTTTCCAATTGTGGCAACCGTGTTATGTAATTTTTTAGATATCATGCGCTGTCGAGTGGTTTCTTTTACCCCTTTAGCGCTGGAGGGTCGCGCAATGCTCGCATTTAATCGCCGAACCGTTATACGATCCTTAGAAATGAAATGAAAAATAAAGCACACTTTGATTGTTTCTTGGTGAACTGTATTTACAATATTGTGTGTTTGTGTGCGTGTATGTGTGATGTTCACCGGGTGGGTTCTGGTTAAAGTCTGATATTTACAAAGTCCGGGCGCTCCTCTGACGTCGCACTTCACCCTCGTTGACGATATGCTTTGTCAAAAACGTTTCCTAAATAACGAATTCTTATTGGTTGAACCCTGAAGGAGTAGGGATATCTCTCGGATTTTCCAACATTCGTGGTGGAGGATAAGGTCCCTTCAGGAAGAAACGCATGGCCTAAAGATAATTAAAAACACGTGGCCAAGTTTGGTTTGACCGCGCCGAAGGTCAGGCAAAATGTCCCGCAGGCCATAAAAGATTTACCAAAATGCTTTTCTCGTAGGTATTTAATTGTCTACAAAAAATGACAAAAATTGGTGACAGTCATATTGAAACTCCATCGAGATTCTAAATATAAAAGTATAAAGAAGTTATATAGTTTTCACTGTTGAGGCTTTCGGGTGTAAGCCGTGTTTTTGTGGAATTGTTTTTCCAACGTTTCGCAAGCATTGCAGCTAGCTTCATCAGGGGGTCGAAAGACACACTGGTACTAGTGTTTGCCTTGTGGTGCTTCTTTAATATACTGGAGCTTGCTCATATTCCGGTTCATTGCTTACCAATCAGAAGAAATTTTAATTGTTCAGTTGAACAATTTAAAAACGTTGGGAAAACAATTCCACAAGGACACAGCTTACACCCGAAAGCCTCAACAGTGAGAACTGTATGATGCCGAGCCGTGAAAGCCTCTAATATAAAGAAGTTATATCGTCCAACAGAATAATTTTTTCTGTCTTATCAGTTAAATGATCATATATGATTTTTGGTACGCCTTCATTCGGTCCAATTTCTTAACGACAGCATGGCAGGACGAACCCCAACGCATTCGTTATTATCCCCTCATCGCGATTTATTCTTCTCCAGTCACGGTGATGAATTCACAACGAGAAAGAGAGAGGTTACACGGTCCTCCTCGGTGCATCACCAATCACAATAATGGTACCATTGCGCTGCATTTATTCCGTGTGGGTCGTCGGGGGCTTCGGCGAGGTTGGTCACGGAGCGTGACCACGCCGCCGACGAGTCTTCTGAACTGGATCTTTCTGGTGCCTGGACTGACCTAACAAAATGATACCACGATTCCTTGCCAGATAAGTCCCGCGCCGCTTGGATGACTTTCCAGCGGGAAACGTCGGCCTGTCGATCAGATAACGTGAACCGTATTCTCCGTCACGAAAAGAAAAAAAAAAACAAAAATACCGACTCCTGCGATCCCAGACGTGTAAATGCCTGGAGGCACAATTGCATTTATAATAAAAGAGAATTTCTCCTGGTACGCGACGCGAGACGCGTCGATGTGAAACTGAGAATTGATTATTAATGGTTTTGCAAAAGTTGTCCTATAAAAAACGATATACAGGGTGATTTAAATAAAAGATTTTGTTGTTGAAGTGTTTATCTAGCAAAGAATATATATACGTGTTTAATTTGGCGAGCACAGTGAATACGGATATGCAATCATATCCGCGAGTAGTGACATCGATTTGTTGTTTCTTAGCTAGGCTAGGGTCTTCTTGTACGCCGCGTTTATTATTAGTAATATAATTCAGAAATAATGTGCATTGAAAGTATATTTATAAACGTATATTAATTTAACACGAAATAGTCATCTTTGATATTTTGGGGCTAAAAGTTCATCGTTTAAACAATCGATATTTTGTTATCATTCGAGAACATGGTACTATGTTACTGAGTTAAACAAAGAATCCAGTAACTTGATAGTAATTAGTAGATACCAACGTAATAACTAGCGATATCAAAGTAATAACTAGTGATACTAAAGTAATAACTAGTATAATTACAAGTATTACTTTACAAAATCTTACTACTCATTTTCATAAACGATACCAGACGACTGTATCCGAATGACAATATCGAAACCATTACATTGAAATTATTCTACCAATTACCGTCAACTTACGGCATTCTTTGCTTTACTCAGTAATATAGTACCACCTTCTCGAATAATAAAAAAATATCAATTGTTTAAACGATGAACTTACAGCTCCAAAATATCAAAGATGGTTATTTCGCGTTAAATTAATATACGTTTACAAATATACTTTCAATGCACATTATTTCTGAATTATATTACTAATAATAAACGCGGCGTACAAGAAGACCCTAGCCTAGCTAAGAAACACAACAGATCGATGT